CCACGCTATGTAAATCCAGTTCCTCCTTGGTATTTTGGCAGGAATCACCAAGAGAATCATGGCCACACAGATATTGACCCTTTTCTTCCAAAAAACCCACCCCTAAGCCCTTCAGTAACACAATGAGGACACAAAATGCAAAGAAGCACAGCAAAGTTCAAAAAAAAAAAAAGACTGCACCAATCTAGAAAAGTATAGGAAATCTGAATTCTTTGAGTCAGTAGGAAAGCTTCCTTTGGGTTTCAGCTAAAGTGGAAAACGCTCCTGATTTTATCCCTTCCTGCAGCGATCCACAGAACAAGCTAATGCTGCAATACTGCTGTATTTTTACATTAGTTTAATACACTATAAATGTAGGCTTGATGGTATGTCAGAGAACTGGCAACACTGTTTTTTAATGAACCTGTGCCGTTGGGCAGAAGTTCAGTCCCTCTTTTTAATAGGAAAAAAAATACCAATTTCAGTATTTGAGGAAAAAAAGTCAATATCTCAAATTTTACTCATTTGACAGTCTAAAGACTATGCCTGTTCAGTTACCAATAACTGAAAGGAAGTGGAACTAGCTCTTTGCGTTTAAAGCATTTTCATTTCTAAAACCAAAACCACTGTAAAGATCCTCACGTACAGCATAAATAATCCATGTCATTTTTTCAAGCCTTATAGTTTTGTGACTACTGTGAAATTTAGGGAACTTGAAATCTCAAAGTCGCATTAAAAACCATAGATAGGAACGACCTGGGGTGCCTCGCATTGACATCACGCCTGTATTACTAGTTAAACCAGTTACACGAGTATTTTGGTTTCAAGAAGAGATTATCCAGCTGCTTAAAGGCTGTGTTCAGTATGCCCACATGTTTATGATTAGTTCACATCTGGGGCTAAACACTAGCCAGCTGTTCTATTACCCAATGACCCCTCCCCACATGAGAAGAGGAATTGGGAAAAGGAAGGAAGACCCATGGGTTGAGATCAGAACTATTTAATAATTAAAATAAAATGGAAAATAATGATGATAATAATAAGATATAGAGTCAAGTGATGTAAGGTGCAACTGCTCACTATCCCTTGACCAATATCCAGCCCGTTCCCAGCTAGCAATCCCAGAGCAGGAAAATCCCAAAACCACAATCCTGGAAGAGAGAGGGCAGACCTTGGGAGCAGAATGACGGGTGAGACCCTTCAGGGGCAGTGACCACTGAGAGCGAGACCGTCCCCAACAAACTTTCCAACTTATAGCAAGCATGATGTTACATGGTAGGGAATACCCATTTGCCAATTTAGGTGTCAATCGCCCCGGCCAGGCTCCCCACCCTGTTCTTGGACAACTGGCTCATTAGCAAAAACAAGTTGATAAAGTCCTTGATCACTATGGATACCTGCATGCCGCAGCTGGCTACAAACTAAAACCAAGTGTCTTATCAACTTTTTTCTCATGGAATTGGGTGCTGCAGTGTCTTAAAAGCGCAGCTTACTTTAAAAATGTAGCTTTTCCAAACAGAAAATTGATCCTGCTTCTACCCCAGCGAAACCAGGAGACAGATTCATCATCCCAAACCTGCTTCAAACCAGCCTGCAGAAGAACGGGTCCCAGGACACCAGGGTGAAAAAAACCCAGTGTATTACCACCTGTGGACACACATAATTACTACTTGTCATTACAGGCCAATACCAACACATGGCCACACCTGCATGGATAAAAAAACTGGAAAGAGCTTCTTAAAAAAATATGCTTTTGTCTTATTTATGTTTTGTAAAATAAATGCAGTTCGACTACTGCTGCGGACAAGAGTTTTTCTACAATGGCTATGATGCATCAAAAAAATCGGTTTCTGAGTTTGTACCTCTTCCGGAAAATTTTCATTACAAACGGATCAGATTTATAAGGAACTGTATTTTCTTTGTATTTACCTCACTAGCAAAACTCACCAAGATCACCAAATAAGTGAAAACAATCTTACTAGCTTAGATGCAGTCTAGTTCCACAGAAGGATGAGTTTTTGAACCTGTGCAAAAGAAGCGGACAATTTTATTAAGTTCTACTAGACAAAAAGAGTATTTTTAATTTATTAGTCAGAAACCTGAATGTGTGCACGTTCACATACTGCTAGCACCCAGAGGACCAGTCAAAACTGGCATCTGACATTAGTTCAGACAGTATTCAAGCATAAAATGGTTGGTATCCTGAACAGTATCAGTAAGATTAAACTAAAGCCTTATATAAACAAGTGTCATGGGTTTGTTACAGACTTCTAGGTCTCCAACAGGTATACAAGTAGTTGCAAAGAATAACATAAAGGTCATAGTATGTACAGATCTTAAAATAAGAGTCGATTGCCTAATACATGACTTTAGCAATATTTCAATAGCATCTCTTTTCTGATCTCTTACTTACTCCTGTTGCATCCACACCTGCTTATTTCAGTCTTCTCACCTTTCTAAAGTTGTGCAAATCTTGAGCAGCCTGCCAACCAGCCTCCCTTTTTCAATCAGCATTCATTTAGATGTTTTTCTGTAGCCTGACATATGGGCAGAAACATACACAATGAAATTGTAGGACTCCTGTTTTTTCCTGATGCTACATTGTGCATTAAGGAAAAAAAAAAATCAAAATCTTACAGCACAGTATATATTTTACTTCAATGAATTTTAATACCCTTCTGCAATCAGTACAATTAATTGTGAGTTAAATAACTTACTTCATTTCCTCAGTCCTCTTTTCTCATTAAAGTAATCATGAGATTGAAAGGATCAAAATTCTTGTCAAGATCTAGCAGATAGTTATGACAGCGATTGGCAGACTAAGTCAAACTACTATAAAAACAAGTCAGTTAAGTTATTAATAACCTATCTTCCTACTAAAAGAATTGTTTTCAAAACAGTATGACCTGAAAGTGAAATTAATCTCATCTTTCTGAAAGTCAGCAATATTCCAACAAACATCATAGTACTGTCTTCCCAACTTGTTCTGGGCAGGAAAACAGAAGCCTACTTGAACGGTTACTTTACAAAAAGTTTGGGGTTTATTTATTAAGTTATTTAAAAGACCATTCCTCTGATTGAAATCTTTCACTGACACAACAGAGGCTGACAATACACTAATTAAATCTCACAACACTAAATTAATTCCCTCCATGAATACAGACTGTAAGGAGAACTGTACACTTGATACCCCTCCGGCTTATTTTCCTCCATATATTTCATATTTCAGGATTGTTTGCTATTTTTGTTTCAACAACAGATGTCATTTCCAAATATAGATAATTTTCTTCAAGGCCCTGGCAGACAGGGAAGTCTCTCAGGAATATGTTTTGGTTTAAACCCAGTAAACCTAGTTTCAAGTTTCTCCTTTGCCCTTTAGCTACTCTTTCCTTTTCCTCTGCACTTGAAGATTTAACATCTAGTAAAAATAATTCTTCGCACCATCTGCCCACACCTGAGCATAGCCACTTATATTCTTGCTCTAGTTATCAACAACAGGCATTCAGAGATTACTTTAAAATCCAAGGTTCCAGCATAATATCTGACTTTTCAGCCACTCTACCTCAATAAAACTGTGCTCACTTCAATTCTTCTTGTCACAGCTTTGTTGTGGTGAACAGAATTCTAAGAACTCAAGGCCAGCAAATGCAATTAAAGTATAAATACTGAAAGCTTTGCTAACACATAATGGGTGTTGAAGATCTCTGTAGAAGCAGTCAAGCTGAAACTACTGGGTCAAATAAGCAAGGGGACATGCCCTACTTTTACTAATACTTTTGAGTACCTTTAAAATAAAAAAGAAAAGCTATTTTAATGATCAAGACAAGCTTTCGTTATTTTATCCATTGCTCTAACCTTCAGTAGCTCAACATGTTATACACATATACTACAAGGAAAAAAGCTTTAATTACCTTTGCTTCATTAAAAAAAAAAGAAAAAAACACAACAGTATTTCAATACAGAATTCTCAAATGCCAATATGAAGAAAATACTAAATACTTAGAACAGTCTCAACGTCTTTATGGCTTTTGATAAACCAGAGCCCTCAAATTTTATGGGCAGATGCAAAATTTACCACCTGAAAGGCAGCATGAAGAGTTACCTCCGAGCCTCAGCTGAGACAATTAAGCAAGAAACATTATTTTTTCTTTGCCACTCAAACTACACTAAACTTCTGCCACCCCAACGCTTTCCTACTGCACTAAAAGGCAGGATAGGTATTTTGACATTCATGTAAAAACAACAAAGAAAAGAAATAAGTTGAGATGCAGGTGGTAGTCGATACACTGCTGATAGGCAGTCTACACAAAATGGCAAGGAGTGATGCAGTTAGCTTACCACAGAAGGGAGGAACAATCAATAAGTGTGCTGGAAAGTGCCTGACTGCAGGATATTCTGTATTCTAATGTTATTTTAATAAACAAAAGAGAAATGGTTAGAACTACTGCTGAAGCATCACTGCTCTTCCTTTGTGAACTGTATTTCTCTCCCCTTTTTCACAAGTCCCTTTTTTGTAAGAGCTAAGGTCTTTACAACAGATGCTCTGCTTCTTACAAAAACCAAGCAACTTAGAACTTCTGATGATTCGATTGTGCCACCTAAATCTCTAGCAATTCTCCCTCCTCTCGGGGGAAACAACGCACTATTACTATTTTATGATCCTCAGCATTCAGTTTTGGAGGACATCTTATAGAAATCTATCTTCCCTTTGTACATCTATTGAAAAGGCCTCTCGTCAAGCCAACATTCCAATGAAGGCTGGACGTTAATCTGCAGATTTCATCAACAGTTTACCTCCTTAATAAGTATAGGTTGGTAGTCCCTTTTTTTTTTGTTTGCTTTGTTATAAAATGCCTCAATTCTCCTCAATTCTTCTCTCTAAGATCTCAAGATCTTAGAGCTGCTGTCAGGTGGTTGGGTAGAGTCACTAATGTGCAGCCTTAGGTGAGTCAAAAAATAAATACTACAAATTTGAGCAACCATTTCTCCATCCTTTCACCAGTCAGTAGCAGCAATAACTGGTACAGGCCCAACAGTGTTCCACTACGATACAGATTTTCAGCAAACCCCAAGTTTTATCAATAAAGCACCATTCAGTTGCTTTGTTGATGAAAGTGCATTAGAGTTCCTGTTTCTCTCCACTAACCACAGCGGAGTCAGACGCACCAGGAACTTTACTACTTCCAGCAAAAACAGAATCTAAAGCAGCCTCCTGCTGCTCTGAAGTCACAGTAGCAGCAGATCCTCTAACAGATGTGCTGGTAAAGGCCGGCCGTTGCTCTGCAATCCTTTGCAGGTCCGCTGTTCTCCTACCTCTTCTTTTGCCCAAGATTTTGATGTAATTAGCTGGCACAAGTCCTGTTGTTTGGCCATCATAACTAGCCAAAAGCCAACCACGGATTTTGGGTTGATGTTCTGAAGAAGAAAACACAAAGGCATTAAGTTACAAAACAACTCAAAATGTATCGCAGTTGAGGCACAAACACACCAGAAGGTAGATGATACAACAGCTCATCACACCGAGATAACAACTTTGTGATAAAAGGCAAATACTTCACAAGAGATTACTTCACAAGAGAAATGACTAGGATCTGCGTTGGTGAGCTGATGATTACTGAGAGGTGCAGATTGTTCTGAAATCTATGACACCACCACACTGCAAACGCCTGAGGATCTTCAGAGTTGTGCAGCACGTGAGGAAAAGGTAACCACGAGGGTAACCACAAAGCACTCCCTGAGCAAGTTTAGGCTGTATCATCTCTTAGGGAAATTGAACAAAAGTACTCAGTAAGTTTTATTACAATGCAAGTAACAACTTGTGGGGAAAACAAAAATAAATCAGTGTGGACGAGGAGCTTGGTCAAATAAGGTGGGATTGTTTTGTTTTCATTTTCAGACTCTATCAATACGACTTACTTCACATGTGATCAGAAAATAAGTATTTAATTTAAAGTTTACCTTTGGGTGCTAATTTTAGCATGTCACCAGCACGGAAAGAAATTTCTTCTTCTGAGAGAGCATTGAAATCATATTCTGCTCTTCCAACTACATGATCGCCTTCTCCACTTGCCCAGTTACTAGATACTGTTTCCAAAAAAAAATTAACAGATTACTTGCTTTGAATTATAAAGCCTTGGGTTTTTCTAAAGGAAAATGAAGAAAACACTGTAACCTCCTTTCTAAAACTTTTCCAATAGAGAACTGACAGGAGTAACAAACAAAGCATGACTTGAGGAGTTAACCCAACCAATACTTCCCCTCCGCCCCAACTGCCACATCTAATAGGAAAGAAACAGAAATGGAAATAAACTGTGATTTTGGAATCACTACTACTTAAACGGGCTGTTACTTTTATCACATGCCTGAAATTCAGTATTGTACCCCAGTATCTATTAACTTATCACAGAATCACACTATAGAATGGTTTGGGATGGAAGGGACCTCAAAGATCATCTAGTTCCAACCCTGTGCGGTGGGCATGGACCCCTTCCACTCGATCAGGTTGCTCAAAGCCTCATCCAACCTGGCCTTGAACACTTCCAGGGATGGGGCAGCCACAACTTCTCTGGGCAACCTGTGCCAGTGTCTCACCACCCTCAGAGTGAAGAAATGCACTTCTATTACTGTAGTATAAGATTAATTGCTATAGATGTGAAAACGAAGCAAACAATACATGCTGCACTTCTCTTATGCTGCAGAGCATCTTTACCTGTTTCTTCGTCACTGTATGTAGAAAGCAGCTTCCAAATCAGATAGGGACCTCCCATTATAACAGCAAAGAACAAGAAAATAGGCCAGGATTTCGCAGAGTTAGGCGCCTTGTCTTCAAGGCCAACACGAGAGACTGTTCCCTCACTTTCAGCCCACAAATCTTCATTCTCAGAGCTCTTCCGCAGACCTAGCAATCGTTGTAGACGTTGGTAGAGATATCTTATAGTTCTCACTAAAGCAAAAGCTGAAAACACCTTTGTGAAGTGTACTCTGAGGCGGGAGAAGTGATTGGCTACATCCAACACAGCTCTGAAACTGTTGTAGACAGCTGAAAAGGTGGCATCCATCATCATGCTGACCGAAGCAAACGCATGCACGATACTTTCAATGGACTGAAACGCACCCCTGCTGTTTTTTTGAACGAACCTGCTGGGAGGAATATCATCTGTACGAAAGCGGTTATAACCCAGACCACCATATCCGTAACTGTAAGGACTATAGCTTCCATAAAAAGAGGTTCCATATGAACCGTAGCCTGGAGAAAAAGAACTACTATACGCTGGCCTGAAAGCGCTCAGACTACTGCTTCCCGTTTGCTGTGACGGTCTTGGCAAAACAGGTGGAGGTATTCGTGCAACTGTGGGTTGTCCAGGCCTGGTCAGCACGTTGTCACCCAAGTCAGCAGACCTAAACAGATTCAAACAAGCAAGATCAGTACTCAAAATAAGTTTATATTTTCATTTCCCCAGAGTTCCTGGCTAACTATATAAGTACAACAGCGCATTTCATTAGAGCCAGGATGGGGAACCTGGTAGCCAAACACTCAGTACGTTGCACAACGTTTGTGGGAAGTAAAAATTCTAGTCAGGAAATACAGGTCTTTCAGGGGGAAAAAAAAAAATGTGATGAGGTATTGAGTGTAAATATGGAACTGCAGCATATCTGAAACATATACATGGAAAAACTTTATTGTATTAACCATGAAAGCATGAAATGCTACCTCTAGATCCATCAGACCTGATGCTAGGTCATTTTTCTGAACACAAGAGCCTCTCATAAGCACCACTAAGAATATTTATGAACTCTGCCATCTGAAAGATTTGTTTCCAATACTTCTTCTCAGCTCTTCTATACAGTGAGCCAATGATACAGCAGGAAGGAAGTCTGAGAGCTCCTTTGAATCCACCCTTAGAGAAAAGGGTGGTGTGACCTAATTGAGAGTTCAAGGATTTATACAACAACATATGCAGGGGCTTTGGGTCCCCCAATTTCCCCCTCTCCCCAAACTATCTGATTACCTTTAAGTAGCACGTCTAGGGATAGAATCTATTACTATTAACGGTTGGCAGAAAGAGGTATTACAAGTCAATTATTTGTTTTTAATTTAGTGACATTTTATTCCTTTATATGCCCATAAGTTCAAGGCATTTTATCTATGCCTGTCATCATAATACCCTGCAAGTACTAGACTGGTATTTGAATTCTGTCAAGCAGCTGTCCAACTTTTGCTGTTTCTTTAAAAAGCTAATCACATATCATCAACCTAAAAGTCAAACATTTTTGCTATTTCCCATATTTACTGCGCATCCCATGACTTCCCACTTCTGTAGTCCATTAAATTCACAGAAAAAAAAATAATAGAAGAAAAGTCAAGTTTTAATTGCTATGGAGCTGCTTCTTTCTGCAATGCTTCCAATGTGAAGCATGCCTGCTATATACTATTTCTGTATGTGGTAGGGAACAACTTCCTCTCAGCCAAACTTACAGGTTTCCACAGCAAAGAATAATATTTATATCTTTACACTGTCTGTTTTTTCCATCATAGACTTCAACTCTCTCAGCAGTTAAAAACAGAAGCAGAAGTAAGCTATTATCACAGAAAGCAGAGGTACTGTAACTTATTAAGTCACACTACACCACCTTCCCCAACAGTCAGCTTAGGACACCCCACTTTAAAGCTGCTTGAAGCAATTCAAACCGAGCTAGATAACCCACCAAAAGAGAATTAACATCCAATTTCTTGCTCAGCAAGCTCCAGCTTACGGCGAAAGCAGAAAAGCCTCTGTTGAACGTTTAGTCTTGGGCTAACCTTTTGCCCAGTTTCAGCTCACTCTAATCGCAACCGCTAGCACCGAAGGAAAAACAAGACCGATCTCCAAGCGCCAAGCTCTCCTCGGTTTCTTTCTGTACAATATCCTCCTCTGCGAAGAAGCTGGATTTGCTGGAAAAGCTCAGATTCCCGGGTGAGCACACCAGCAACACACACACACATATCCATGTTTCACCAGTTCCTGGGGACGACACACAGCCTCCCCGCTCCTGCGGAGGCAGGCACGCTTCCACAGCTCCACAGTCCCCAGGAATGGACACCCTCCCTTCGCGCACTGGCGGCCACACGCAGCTTTACCTCCCCCACGGCAAACACGCAGCTTCCTACAGACACACACGGGTGGGGTTTGAGACTGGTAGAGCCCCTCGCTCCCTTTTCCCACCGGGAAGGGGGATCCACCAGAAACGCCCCTCCTCGCCCGGCACAAGGCAGAGCGAACGACCCCAAACCGCCCCAGCAGAGAACGCGCCCCCCGGGCCACCCAGACCGACAAACCCCTCAGC